ATGAGCAAGCCTATTCCATAGAATGGGTGAAAGGATGTTATCCATAGTAGCCAAACAAAATTAACTTTGACGAAGGTGGAGGAGGCCGGCCTGTACTACATCATTTCTTGTTATCAGGCAGGCGGCCAGTCGCACTACAGCAACCGATAATGCTGTGCAGCCTTGAGGATGAACTGACACAAGGCTGAGTATGCACTAAATTACACTTTAAGTTAAGTAGGAGGATGCTAGAACCTCTGTCAGATCTCCACCTAGCAGGGCACAGGAAGCAAAAAAGATAATTCCATACAGGGTTTACCCTTCCCCACTCTATTCATTACTATAATAAAATTTTGACTGTACATATACTTTAATGTGCTTGAAGGCAGGCTTGAGGGCCATTTGGGTGATTTCTGTTATCTTTATGATTTGAAAAGGAGCCAAACAAACTATGTGATAATAAATGGCTTCATATGATCCCTATCCTTAAATAAAAGTTTTTTGGCATGATCAGTCATATTTTCAAGATCAATGCCAAAATGTCACGATTGCTGCCAGGGTATGCAAAATTTTGAGTACAACTGTATTTCTCATACGCAGCATAAGAAATACTAACAATTACATCCAAAAACACATTCTGCTACTCCTCCCAAGTATAGGGATGCCATATGTGAAACTTATCACAGCCTAGACTAGTGGCAGTCAACTTTCTTGATATGGTGGCCCTGAAGTGCAACCCTTGACATTACAAAAAGGGCCACACATAACATTCAGTGAATATTCAATGTCAGAGACAGCAGCCATGTAATAGGACCTAGTCAAAGACTAATGACATGATACAGGAGATGGTCAGACAATGCAGATATGATACAGAAGATGGTCATAGACTGCAGACATTATTATTATTATACAGAAATAGGAGGGCCCTGCTAATAGAGCATATAGTCTAAAGGGGGATATAGTACAAGAGGTAATAGCTGCAGGGGATGATCTGATGGAGGTGACTGAAGTACGGCTTTTTAGGTGGAGGTGGGGTAGGCTTTGCTGAATAAATTTATTTTTAGAGATCGCAGACAGGGTAGGAGCTGACCGGACATACTGTGGTAGGCAGTTTCAGAGGATGGAAGAAGCTCTTAAAAAGTCCAGGAGGTGAGCATGGGAGGAGGTAACAATGGAGCCAGAGAACAAGACATCCCCGGAGGAGTGAAGAGGATGACCTGGGCAATATCTCCAGATGAGGTTGCTGATATAGCTGGGGGCAATGTTGTGGATGGCTTTGTACGTTGTGGTTAGTATTTTAAATTTTATACGTTGGGCTAGTGGAAACCAGTGAAGAGATTGGCAGAGAGGGACAGCAGTCACGGATCATTCAGTAAGGTGGCAAAATTTAGCCAGTAATTGGAAGTGGGGTCCAAAGCAGAGGTCAGAGTCTAGGATTACACCTAGCACCTTGGTATGTGGTTGTGCTGTTGATCTCAATGGTAAAGTCATAGGGGGTTTCAGGGAGGAGGAAATATTACAAGTTCAGTTTTAGAAAGATTAAGTTTGAGAAAGTGTGACATCCATATTAATATGTCGATCAGTAAATTTGTGATATATGAGGAGATCGGGGGGGTGAGTTGGGTAGTATAGAGATAGATCTGGGTGTCGTCGGTGTAGAGGTGGTACTGGAAGCCATGGGAGGTTATCAACTGGATCAGGGAAGAAGTGTAGCGAGAGAATAGGAGGGGCCAGAGGACAGAGCCTTGGGGTAACCCAGCAGAAAGAGGAAGGGGAGCAGAAGAGAAGGTGTTGTATGTGACACTAAAAGTGCGCTGAGATAGGTAAAGGAGTACCAGGAAAGAGCAGAGTCATGGAGGCTAAGGGAGTGGAGTTTATTGAAGAGGCGTTGGCGAGGAAAAGAAAATCAACAGAGGCAAGTTTGTTAGAAACTGAGCAGTAATTCCATAGGGCTCATATGAGGGGGAGGGCTGGCTCATGGAAGCAGGAAAATTGAAATAAGAATGTGAGGGTTGCAGGTGCTGCCAAAGAAGGGTGATTGCCAGTTCTGGGGGTGAGAGTTAGCTGGTGGAGGGCCAGGGTTGTATATGTACAGGTTTTGGGATGGAGAAGAGGAATAAGGAAATTAAGAGTTTGACGAAAGAGGACATTATTGCAAAGAATAATATTATTATGAGCATGTTGGAAGGTGAAGAGATGGGAAAATACATGTTACAAGAGATGGTCAGATGCTGCAGACAGTATGCAAGAGATGGTCTTATAGTGCAGCACAGTGGCTAAATGGTTAGCACTTCCGCCTGGCAGTACTAGGGTTGTTGGTTCGAATCCCAGCCATGGCACCTCCTGCCTGGAGTTTGCATGTTCTCCCTGTGCCTGCGTGGGTTTTCTCCGGGTACTCTGGGTTCCTCACACACTCCAAAGACATGCTGGTAGGTTAATTGGATCCTGTATAAATTGGCCCTTGTATATGAATGTGAGTTAGGGACCTTAGATTGTATGCCCCTTGAGGGTTAGGGACTGATGTGAATGTACAATATATATGTAAAGCGCTGTGTAAATTGACGGCGCTATATAGGTACCTGAAATAAATAATAATAAATAGTGCAGACAGGATGCAAGAGATGGTCTGAAACTGTGGACATGGTACAAGAAATGGTCAGAGACTGTGGACATGATAAGAGGAAAAGTTAGAGACTGCAGACATGATACTAGAGATGGTCAGAGACTGCAGGCATGATACTAGAGATGGTCAGAGACTATGGACATGATAATAGAGATGGTCAGAGACTGCGGACAGGAAGCAAGAAATTTTCAGAGACTGAGGAGAGGATGCAAGAGATGGTCAGAGACTGCAGATATGATACAAGAGATGGTCAGAGACTGCAGACATGACACAAAAGATAGCCAGAGACTGCGGACATGCTGCAGAAGGCTGTCAGAGACTGTGGATAAGGTATAGAAAATGGTGAGAGACTGCAGATATAATACAAGAGATGGTCAGAGACTGAAGACATACTATATGAGAATGCTAAAAATCACTTCTTTAACAGGGCAATAGGGAAACACAGACTAGGGCCTGCAAGGGCCCAGAGGACCTCACAAAAAGTGTCACAGGTTGAGCACCAGGGGGCTAGATGCATAGAGCAGCCCAAAATCCAAGAAGCACCTTTTAGCTGTCAAGGGGCATAAATTACATGACTAATTTCCTGACTACCTATCAAATTTTTGGTGACCCTGGAGCATCAAGTCAAGAGAAACACCCACATAATTACCCCATTTTTGAATGCAAACACCCCAAGATATTTTCTGAAAGGCATAACGAGTCTTTTGAAAATATTCATTTTTGCCACAAGTTTTTGGAAAATGCAGGAAAGAAAATGAAAATGTATTTTGTTTTATATGACGTTGTCAATTAATAAGATATTTCTAACACATAACATAGGCATACTTAGAATTACGCCTCAAAACACATTCTGCTATTTCTCCCGTGTATGGGGATACCACACAAATGAGACTATTTCACAGCCTAGCCACATAGAAGGGGCCCACAATCCAAGGAGAATCTTCAAGTATTCTAGGGGCCTAAATTACACATCTAATTTCCTGAATACCTATCATATGTTTGGAGGTTCTGGAGTACCAAGACAGTGGAAACACCCACAAAGATCACATTTTGGAAAGCACACACCTCACGGTATGTTCTAAAAGCCATGGTGAGTGTTTTGAAGACTTCTGTTTTTGGAAAATGTGGAATAAAAAAATGTAATTTTTTTACACACAGATGCAAATTAATTAGATATTTATAACACAGGCAATTACACCCCAAAACACATTCTGCTACTGTGTGACTTTTTCACAGCCTAACCACATAGAGAGGCTCAAAATCCAAGGAGTGCCATCAGGATTCCTAGGGGCATCAATTTACCTAACTACCTATCACATTTTTGGGCACTGTGGTTTGTGTAGTGGTGCTCGGAGACACTGTCACTGGTTGCACTATTAGGGCTTGTTTACATGTGAGGTTGGGGGGGGGCCTAAAACTTCATGGTTGAGCGGCAGATCTCCACCCCCGATTGCTACCCCCTTTAGCTGCAGAGGCACTTGCTGCAGCTGCATTTCTTTGCAGCTGTGCCGGGAATTATACCCCCTGCCACTTTTGGCTGATGTAGTGCTTGCTGATTGTGTCCCATTCAAGTGAATGAGGGTGCTTGTGTGGGGTCCAAGAGGTTAAAGCAGGTCACGAGCAGGTGATACCCCTTGTCAATTGTCACTCATCATGACCCATTCAAGTGAATGTGGGCATGGTCTAAGAAGGTAAAGCAGTCAGTGAAGAGGTGATACAATTCCTCCTCATTGCCTGTCAATTGCTGAACAATCTGAACATGGACCACTATTCGGAGAACACCACATATATGAACCTTATTGTGATACAGGAACTGATGTGGTGGTGACTGGGGACTTTGCGACTAGCTGCACTATTAGGGCTTGTTCACATGTGAGGTGTGGGGTGATAAAACCTTACAGTTGAGCCACGGTTTTAATGCCTCCTAACCCCTACCTCCTTTGCAGAGGGAGCGGACAGGGGTGTACACATGCCACGACTATGATACTTTACGGCTGTGGCAGGAATTACACCCCCTATTGCTTTTGGCTGATGCAACACCCACTGATTGTGTCCCATTGAAGTGAATAAGGGTGATTGTGTGGGGTCCAGGGGGTTAAAGCAGGCGGCGAGGAGGTGATACAATTCCTCCTCCTTGCCTGTCAAGTTTTCTCTGAAGAGTGATCCAAACAGGGATTGCTCTTCACAGAGCACTGCAAATGTAAACAGGACCTTATTGTGACACTGGGACTTGTGTGTGGTGGTGTGAATGGGGAAATTGTGAGCTGCTGCACTGGTCTGGTGACATTCTACTATCGTGGCAGTGATCAGATACAATGGCTGGCTGCACTGACATACAGTGATACCACAGAGGTCAGCCATTGTACATGATCACCGCCATAGCAGCACAGTGTCAATCACAAACATTTGTGAAAGAATGGGTCGCTCTCAGAAGCTCAGTGAATTCAAGCATGGTATCATGATAGGTTGCCACCTGTGCAATAAGTCCATCCGTGAAATTTCCTTGCTACTAAATATTCCACGGTCAACTGTTTGTGGTATTATAAGAAAGTGGAAGCAACTGGGAACAACAGCAACTCAGCCATGAAGTGGTAGGCCACGTAACCTTAAAGAGCAGGGTCAGTGCATGCTGAAGCACACAGTGCGCAGAAGTCGCCAACTGTCTGCAGAGTCAATAGCTAAAGACCTCCAAACTTCATGTGGCCTTCAGATCAGCACAACAACAGTGCGTAGAGAGCTTCATGGAATGGGTTTCCATGGGCGAGCAGCTGCATCTAAGCCTTACAACGCCAAAAGCAATGCAAAGCGTCAGATGCAGTGGTGTAAAGCATGATTTGACTCTAGAGCATTAGAGACATGACCTCTGGAGTGACAAATCACACTTCTTTGTCAGGCAATCTGATGGATGTGTCTGGGTTTGGCAGGTGCCAGGAGAATAGTACTTGCCTGACTGCATTGTGCCAAGTGTAAAGTTTGGTGGACGGGAGATTATGGTGTGGGGTTGTTTTTCACGGGTTGACCTTGGCCCCTTAGTTGAAGGGAAGTCTTAAGGCGTCAGCATACTAAGACATTTTGGACAACTTTATGCTCCCAACTTTGTGGGAACAGTTTGGGCATGGTCCCTTCCTGTTCCAACATGACTGTGCACCAGTGCACAAAGCAAGGTCCATAAAGATATGGAAGAGCAAGTTTGGGGTGGAGGAACTTGACTGGCCTGCACAGAGTCCTGACCTCAACTCGATAGAATACCTTTGGGATGAATGAGAGAGGAGACTGTGAGGCAGGCCTTCTCATCCGACATCAGTGCCTGACCTCACAATTGCGCTTCTGGAATAATAAACACACTTCTAAACCTTGTGGATAGCCTTCCCAGAAGAGTTAAAGCTGTTATAGCTGCAAAGGGTGGGCCAACTCAATATTGGACCCTGCGGACTAAGACTGGGATGCCATTAAAGTTCATGTGCAAAGGCAGGCAAGCTTTTCAGAAGCCAGTGGGTTTGTAGGCCCTGCTAGAGTGGTGAGGCCAACCCATAAATATGGAAGAGTAGGATGGAAGATAAAGTGCTGTGGAGGCTGTTTATGGCCTGGGCGGGGTCCCCCAAGTCTTTGGGGGGCTGGCCTCCAGGCTGGGCTCAGGGTGGCTCAGAAGGATCCATTCAGCATCATGGTATGAACAGGATCAAGGCCTAGGAGCAGTGGGAACAAGGAGGACAGAGTGAGTACATCAGCACACCCAGGAATTTACTAGGGGAGAGACTGCCATCTGTAGCAATCTTGCTTGTTTGTAGGTGACCAAATACTTATTTTCCACCATAATTTGCAAATAAATTCTTTCCAAATCAGCCAATGTGATTGTCTGGATTTTTTTTTCTCATTTTGTCTCTCATAGTTGAGGTCTACCTATGATGCCAATTACAGGCCTGTCTCATCTTTTTAAGTGGGAGAACTTGCACAATTGGTGGCTGACTAAATACTTTTTTGCCCACTGTGTGTCCCCTAATAAAAATAACAAAAAAACAAGCTCAAGGACTGTTCACTGACTGTGGATGCAAGTGTAGAAAATGCATGTTGCCTGGCTGTGCGGTGCTTAGGGGGACCTAGAAACTCAGCGGCCTTCAAGAGGGTAGTTTTATATATATACAGTATCTCACAGAACTGAGTACACCCCTCACATTTTTGTAAATATTTTATTATATCTATTCATGTGACAACACTGAAGAAATGACACTTTGCTACAATGTAAAGTAGTGAGTGTACAGCTTGTATAACAGTGTAAATATTCTATCCCCTCAAAATAACTCAACACAGAAATTAATGTCTAAACCAATGGCAACAAAAGTGAGTACACCCCTAAGTGAAAATGTCTAAATTGGGCCCAATTAGCCTGTCAGGAATGGACTGGCCAGCAATGGTGGGGCTCACCTGCCTTTTGATCTGCAGTACCAGGGCTGGCCAGCGGATGCTCCCAGCAATCAGAGACTCAACTTTGCAGCCAGCTAACACCTGGAACTGATTATGCTGGGGTATTTAAGGGATGGCCAGACCCACAGACTCGGCCTTGGTGTTGTGTTTGTCCTGGGCCCTGTATCCTGTGTCTGTCCTACATCCTGTTTCTGAACCGCTGCTGACTTCTCCTGCTCTGATCCCGGCTCGCTCTTGACCATCCCTCTGCCTGACCCTCTGTACCACGCTGCTTGCTACCTGTTCTGATCCCTGGCTTGTGACCCTGACCATCCCTCTGCCTGACCCTCTGTACTACGCTGCTTGCTACCTGCTGAACCTGGCCTGTGACCCCGACCAATCTCCGCTTGCTCCCCCTGTACCTACCTGCCCTATTGATATTGACCCGGCCTGCCTGACGACGCTTGCTTGTATGTACTGTTATCTGTGGTGGTTGGTTTGGTTTGGTTTGGTTGCACTGTATTATGTTTTAGTATTGCACTGCGTTTATGTTTGTATTGTTAGTGTTAATAAATTATATTGTTTATAACATATCTGAGGTCTGCGTTTCCCTGTGTCAGCCACACACCTCTGGTCACACCTGGGAGCCCTGACATTACACCAAGGCCAATCCTGACCAGAAGTGGCTGCACAGGGAAGCCATCTTGGCTTGTTGATGGGAAGGATGGATCTTGATGAGGTTGCGTATTTATATCTGCTAGTGTTTGATGACAGAGAGTATGCTTATCAAACTCTGAAGGAGTATACCCAGGATGAACTGCTAGAATGTATATGGCTCGCTCATGTTCTAGTAGATCAGGGCACAGAGTTCTCTGAGGTGCAGCCTTTGATTGAGGTTTGTGCAGAGTTGGTTTCATCTGGAACCCCCGAATGCAGGGATGAATTTTTGCCACCATTTAGTGCAGACCAGGTAGAGTCCCTGGTGTGGTTATTAGAGGATGATGTGGGTTACTTTCTGGAGCGTTATTCCACATGTTCACCACAGGTACTAAGAGATTGTATAAACGCAGTGCAGTCATTGACCAGACAGGCTTTGTGTAAGCTCAGCTTTGTTCAACCCATACTGCAGACATGGACAGACTTGTTGCACCCAGCCTCAGTCAGCTTACAAAAACCCAGTCCTGCTTCTAACTCTACTCCTGTATTCCCAACAGCTCCTCCAGTTACAGCCCAGTATACTTGGCTATCTACCGCATGTCAGTCCCCTTCCCACTCGCTGCACCTATCCTGCCTTTAACCCTGTAAAAAAGCCCTCTGTAGCAACTGCTCCCTCTCCTGTTCCATCCTCCAGTTCTTCTCTGTCTCCAGCTGCTCCATTCGTTTGCAGACCTGCGTTTACTTGCAGTGCTCCAGTAGTTAAAACCAGAAAAAAGCGAAAATTCTTTCCAACCAATACCATCCTGCCAGTATCCAAACCGGTGAACCTGCCTTCCGTGGTTCAGCCTGAAGCCTGTACTCGGCCTGATGCCTGTACTCGGCCTGATGCCTGTACGCGGCCTGATGCCTGTACGCGGCCTGATGCCTGTACGCGGCCTGATGCCTCTACTCGGCCTGATGCCTCTCTTCGGCCTGAAGCCTCTACTCGGCCTGAAGCCTCTACTCGGCCTGAAGCCTCTCTTCGGCCGGATGCCTCTCTTCGGCCGGATGCCTCTCTTCAGCCGGATGCCTCTCTTCAGCCGGATTCTCTTCAGCCGGATGCCTCTCTTCAGCCGGATGCCTCTCTTCAGCCTGATGCCTCTCTTCAGCCTGATGCCTCTCTTCAGCCTGATGCCTCTCTTCAGCCTGAAGCCTGCATTCAGCCTGATGCCGCTACTCAGCATGATGAACTGATCCAGCCCGACGATCCTATTAGGCCAGTTGACTCGATGCCCGCTGTTGATCCAGATGATCCGGTACCTGATCCAGTGCCCGCTGTCGTGCCAATTGACTCAGAGCCCGCTGTCATACCTGGTGACCCGTGCCCACTGCCTTGCCAGATGACGCGGTGCCCGCTGGCAAGCCAAATGACCTGATGCCTGGTGACCCAGTGCCCGCTGTCATACCTGGTGACCCGATGCCCGCTGTCGAGCCAGACAATCCGATACCTGATGACCCGGTGCCCACTGTCGTGCCTGTTGACTCGGAGCCCACTGTCGTGCCAGACGACTCTCGGTGCCCGCTGTTCCGCCAGACGACTTGGTGCCCGCAGTCTTGCCAGACGACTCGAAGCCTGCTGTTCCGCCAGTTGGCTCGGTGCCCGCTGTTCCGCCAGACGACTCGGTGCCCGCAGTCTTGCCAGACGACTCGGTGCCCGCAGTCTTGCCAGACGACTCGGTGCCCGCAGTCTTGCCAGACGACTCGGTGCCCGCAGTCTTGCCAGACGACTCGGTGCCCGCAGTCTTGCCAGACGACTCGGTGCCCGCAGTCCCGCCAGTTGACTCGATGCCCGCAGTCTTGCCAGACGACTCGGTGCCCGCAGTCTTGCCAGACGACTCGGTGCCCGCAGTCTTGCCAGACGACTCGGTGCCCGCAGTCTTGCCAGACGACTCTGTGCCCGCAGTCTTGCCAGACGACTCTGTGCCCGCAGTCCCGCCAGTTGACTCGGTGCCCGCAGTTCCGCCAGTTGACTCGGTGCCCGCAGTCTTGCCAGACGACTCGGTGCCCACAGTCCCGCCAGACGACTCGATGCCCGCTGTTCCGCCAGACGACTCGGTGCCCGCAGTCTTGCCAGACGACTCGGTGCCCGCAGTCTTGCCAGACGACTCGGTGCCCGCAGTCTTGCCAGACGACTCGGTGCCCGCAGTCTTGCCAGACGACTCGGTGCCCGCAGTCTTGCCAGACGACTCGGTGCCCGCAGTTCCGCCAGTTGACTCGATGCCCGCAGTCTTGCCAGACGACTCGATGCCCGCTGTTCCGCCAGTTGACTCGGTGCCCGCAGTCTTGCCAGACGACTCGGTGCCCGCAGTCTTGCCAGACGACTCGGTGCCCGCAGTCTTGCCAGGCGACTCGGTGCCCGCAGTCTTGCCAGACGACTCGGTGCCCGCTGTTCCGCCAGTTGACTCGATGCCCGCAGTCTTGCCAGACGACTCGATGCCCGCAGTCTTGCCAGACGACTCGGTGCCCGCAGTCTTGCCAGACGACTCGGTGCCCGCAGTCTTGCCAGACGACTCGATGCCCGCAGTCTTGCCAGACGACTCGGTGCCCGCAGTCTTGCCAGACGACTCGGTGCCCGCAGTCTTGCCAGACGACTCGGTGCCCGCCGCTTCGTCTGGGGCCCGAGACCTGTTGCTCCGCCTGAGGGCCCGAGACCTGTTGCTCCATCTGGGGGTCCGGAGCCCGCCGCCCCGCCTGGGGGCCCAATGCCTGTCGCCCCGCCTGGGGGCCCGATGCCTGTCGCCCCGCCTGGGGGCCCGAGGCCTGTCGCTCCATCTGGGGGTCCGGCGCCCTCTGCTCCGCCTGAGGGCCCGAGACCTGTCGCTCCATCTGGGGGTCCGGCGCCCGCCGCTCCGCCTGAGGGCCCGAGACCTGTCGCTCCATCTGGGGGTCCGGCGCCCGCCGCTCCGCCTGAGGGCCCGAGACCTGTCGCTCCATCTGGGGGTCCGGCGCCCGCCGCTCCGCCTGAGGGCCCGAGACCTGTAGTTCTGCCT